ATGCCAAAACATGGGGAAAATTCATCTGGTTGCCCACGGGATTCCCACAGCAGGGCTATCGGTTGGTCTAATTCGCTAATCATTCCGGCATCTGCTCCTAGAACATTGTAGCTAAGGTTTGCCCCGAGCTACTTTTTTGCCTCGGTTTCAAGTCCCCTGCCCCGCATCTCAGAGTGCGACAAAGCGCTGGGGAAGGAAGGGTCCCCAGCGGAGGTCGCAATTCTACGCTGGAAGGAGGGGATCATATGTGGCCTGAGTAATTTTTTTGATATCCATTTTTCCTGTTTAACACGCGTTACCCACAACACTGGTTGACTCCCAGTAGACAGCTCAACTAAAGGGAAGAGTAGTACTTTTGTCGCTTCGAGATGAGAGAGGGGTCGTATTTGGCCTGATGTAATTCGCTCCGAGAGCGAGAAATATTTTTTGGTTTGTTGACTTTCGTGGTTCCCTCCTCTCGCCCAGTTGTTGTTGCGGGTGCACTATCCCCTCTTGGTCGCGGCTATTTAGGGAAATAGAAATTTTGGAAAACTGGGGAAAAGTGGTACGAAGTCAAGAGCCCGAGAAGATGTCAGGTAAAATAGGGGAAGGGGATCGCACCAAACCAGGAACTTTGAGGGGCCGTATTTCGCAGAAGTTAACACCGGCGCTATCACGTGCTTTGTGCGTAGCAACAGGGACGTCGGACTGCACGTGTCTCACCAATATGCGGCGTCACAATGACGTCATCGTCTATAACGTCGACGCGCCGCGCACGCACGCTGATGTGCATTTGAAGTGGCCAAGTACTTCTCCAAAACCATGAGAAAAAATAAACATCAAATTAGATGAGAACATTGAGTACTCGTTTTGGGACCGAGTTCCCAGAAGTTCTATCACAGGGATACCTTCTGTACGAATCTAATGCCTTTATTTGAAATACAGTACACACTATTAGTAATACCGTAGTAGTAACATATCAAACTCGCAACTGGGTTAAATCCAATGAAATACGAGCTACTGGTCGTCAAACTTGAGTAAAAAATCGATATAAATCCAAGGGTAAGTACAAAGTTTGAAACGATAAAAAGTATTCAATGAGTATAAGAGGAAGATTCACTGCAATGGCAGACTTAGCCGCGAACGAGCCCTGTATGATTTAAAGCTCTTCTTCATACAAAAGAAGATACTGTACACTTATAAACCTTTGAAAATACGAATGTATTCCATTAAAACAGGCCTTTGTGAGACAATTAAATCTGAAACTCGCCTTTAAACTGACAAATTATCAAAACACTGACAAACTATAGAGTCATGGTGAAAAAAATCAATGTTGAAGGCATATTCCGCATTGACCGGGTGGGCGGAGACTCACAACCGTTCTTGGTTCGTCACTGGTGCTTTACCCTTTGTAGTACGGCAAAAAGGAAGCGCCAGTGAGCGAAATACAATGGCTGTGAGGCTCCACCCAACCGATCATCGCGGAATATGTCTTCACTAGGGCAGCTACACAGTCAGCTGGACAAAGTATATGGAGTATTTGAGCGCTATTCAGAACCTTGAACCACGGCAACAAGGCAAGGCTTGGGAAATAAAGAAGCTCAGCAGCCCACCTAATCATTGCCGTACTCCATATCCCAACCATGGAGAGGGCGTGGCTGCGCACTTCATACAAGCATGGTGCAGGACGCGTTTTTCGTGGAAGATATCCATTTGAGACAACAGGCTGTGACGTTTTGCGCAGGATAAAGGCATGTTAGCAATTGCCAGAGCACTGCCGCCACATTAAACGAAGTGCGCTGCCACGCCCACTCTATCTCCAGGATATGCTGTGCAAGGATTGATGATCAAAGCTCTGAATAGCGCTCAAAGGCACATTCCACGACAACCTGGCGGGCAGAGTCCCACAACCACGGTGCTTTTCCCACTTGATGTAGCACTCCACTTCACAAAGGCAGAATGGGCGCACCCATTAGGAAGCCGCAACAGTTACGAGTCTCCGCCCAGTCAGTTATCGCGGAATGTGCCTCAAAAAGAGAATCAAATGAGCAAAATCATATTCGCAGTTCGCCGCAGTGGTACACTGTTTAATGATGGCAGATGAGGGCTACCTGGCTCTTCTTCTGTCACCACCCACTTGCTGCGGCGACAAACTGTAAATACGACGTCATAGACCTTGTACAAAAATGTCAAATTAGTGATAATCAGTAACGAGTTAGCGCTTTCGACTATCGAATGATGCAGTGATCTCTTCGACACTTTTTCCTTTGGTTTCTGGTACAAATCGCCATGTGAAGAAGATGAAGAATGTGAGAAATGCGGTGAATACAAGGAACGAGTATTGGGCGAGGGCATTCTGAATGAATCATTCATTAGTGCAGTGTTTGCGTGAACATAGTTTGGTGCATATAGGAATGTAAACTTACGTTGAGCGAAAGGAATGTGAGTCCAACTATCAAGTTAGCTGTCCAGTTGACCATCACAGCAATCGAATTCGCATTACTTCGAGCGCTGGATGAGAAAATCTCAGATACGAAGAACCACGGGATAGAGCCTAAACGTGACATGTTAATGAAGACTAATGCCTGCCTCGAACGCACTCTCCACGCTCGAAAAATGGGCGGGGACAGGCCCATGCACTGAAGTTTTTACCCACCTGGTCCGGTGGCGAACGAGATGACGAACATCAGTACGAACACGATAGCGCCATAACTGGCCCACTGGTGACCACCAGCACTCAGTGAAAGGGCAACCACAAGCAGAATGGTTGCTATCCACATGCCGCTCATACCAATAAGCATCAGTGAACGACGACCGAATTTCGGGTGATCAACCTGAAGCTCATGAAAAAAATTACGAAGGAGCGATCAATTAAAATAAATTTGAGGGTAAAGGTTTAGTCCGGGGTGGGGGGGGGGGGTGGATGGGGATACCGTGACTTTGCCGTCATGCGGAATTATTTCTCGTCTTGATACGCCTGGAAAATTCTGCAAAACATGACCCTCCCCCTCTGACAAGCAGACATAATGTGTCAGAGTTGCTAGCAGTGTGGCACCCACCCCCCCCCCTCCTCTTCAACTAACTCCGCCCTAAATTTTCATGTAGCAAAAATCACTCCAAAACTCGCATTCGTAAGTCAGTTATGCCTGGGAAGAAAGCCGAGTACACAGCACGGCAACTGAAAATGGAACAAAAACTCACCAGCCATACAGAAATGACGGTCATGATCACATTTACCGTACCCATGCCAATTGTTGCATAAACGGCACTTTCGTTGCTAAGACCAGCCTGCTTGAAAATTACCGTCGAGTAGAACATCGCTACGTTGATACCTGAAATGTTAAATGATAATGGTAGCTTTAAATGACAATGATAACCTAGCCTTAAAGGCAAAACCCGCATCATTTGTCATCACAGATAGAGGATTAGGAGTTTGGAAACAGACAACAAGGTTCTGAATAACTCAATGGTGAAGAAAAGCAGAAAAAAAACATGTCAAGTGCCCTGGATAGAACCCCATCCGAGTCCAGTTTTGTGTGTGCCCAGTTCACTCCATCTCCAACAATACGCCATCGTGTTCACAGCTAATTCCCCGATAAATACTCTACGACCGTATAAGTAACGATTTTCATGCTTTCCCGTCCTGCAGGTTCGTTTTTCGCCAAACGCGGGCCTTCGAGGCGGAGTCTGGAGGCGGAGCCACTGAACCTATATTGCTATAGCGCGCTTCTCTTGCAATTTTTTGCTGCAAAACCGGTACAATGTTGTTTGTCGCAGACCGCACTATCCTCCCGACGTTGTTCTCAGCCTCTATATCCAGGGTACAGCATCGCTGTGTGAAACTCATGGCGCGGGTGGGGGGTCGTATGTGCATTTGAGAGAAATTTGCCGCGTTGGGAAAAAATTTTTCCTGGTTGTTGACTTTTCGTGATTTTTCCTGTTTCATGTGTACTGCGAACCACCACCCCTCCCCCCGCTCGACAGCGAAATTTTCAGGGAGAAGTAGGGATATTCTTGGGAAATCCCGGAAAAAGTGGTAGAAAGTTGGGGACCCATGGCCCAGTGACGGCAAGCTAGCTCCGTCCCTGTGAACAGGATCCACCTTCACCATGACCGTCGCTATATAGCGCTAGGGTCACGATAATTTGCACACTCTTTAGCCGTATCTTGGACTGCTTCTCTTTTCTGCTCTCGGTCTCTCTCTGCCATATGCTCGGACCGGGGAAAGGGTCCTTACTCAGGGCTTGAACAACGGGCACTGTGAGCGACTATGCCAAAGGAAGTACAGCCAGAGAAAATGTACGTGACCACAGCAGTAACGGCATAGCTAACGCCTGTGTCTGAATGTCGGGGCATTGAAACGGGACACCATAACGATGTGGAAATATGACCCACCCTCAAAGTTGCTCCTACTAGGAAGAGGGAGGTAGACACCCCCTAACAACTATCAAATAAGTAGTTCTGCAGCGCAGCCAAACAGGGGAAAAGGTGGGCAGAACGGGCAGGTACAGCGCGTGGAAAGTAAGAAAAATCTGCTAGCAGAAGAAATGTTTCGCTACAAAATACGACACGTCTCAGTGCTCTCTCACTCCAGCGGTCCAAATACAACCCTACCCCTGACCCGAACTGTTTGAACACCAGTGCTTCACGGCGGAAGGTGACCTTACTGCTTCACTACTCTGGCCTTCGACTTTTCTTCATCTCAACCACCAGAAATTATCGTTTTGTTGTCATAGCGTTGAATTTTCTCTCCAGTATTGGCTGGCAAGCATAGACAGTCTTCAATTTGTGGATGCGAACATCTAGGAGAACTAGCACAATTTTTGCTGCCTTTCTTGTAATTGTACGGGCAAGTTTGCTTCCCTAGACTAGTGCTTCATCCCCCCTCCCCCACTTCATGCAGTCTTTGAGGAAATACCCACCTGATAATTGCTGAGCAAGCATCATCATGATAGCGATCGTCATCGGCCATAGCAATGATCCACGGAACATGTC